TTGTCCTGGAATTACCTAGCTTAGTTCTTGGAATTCACTAACGCCCTGTAGGCATAGGTATTCCCTTTAAAAATTCCCTACTGGTATTCTGGATTTATTATTCCCGATATCTGAATGGGATGATCCTCATGAAATTTAGTAAGTCCGATTGTTATGCTAAGGAAAAATGAAATAATGAATTAATACTACTATCAGCGGGGAATTTGGCGAAGCCAGAAATCGAACGAAAATGCATCGATGCAGTCAGATACGTCGACATTATGTGCTTCTTAATAGAGGGTTTTGGCTGCAGTGTTTTGCAACTTTAAGCTACACTCGATGAGCTTGCAATTATCATCACTATATTAATTGTACAGTATATAATTTGAGCAAGGGCAACCAGATTATTTCTATGCAACTCGTAAACACTCGCTAGCTGAGTAGTGCAACTGTTCTAAAAATAGACTGTTGACAGTGAAGCCATTATTGACCTAGTATCAGAACATATTCCCAAAAAATTGCGGTATGAGCATTTGTACCTTTGGCCACGGAAATATACATTCTGCAGGACAGCTGTTGTCCCTCTCGTCCGATAAAGGTTCCGGCCCGAATGCTGAAACTTCCTTTAATTAATGGTCCTTCAAGAATACGTGGGCTTCTACGGGAAAAAAAAGAGCTCTTTGGCTTAAAGGCCCCTTTATCTCCCCTAAATGAGGTTTGTGCATTCAGGCCTTCGGTTTTCCTTTGAGCAGGGCCAGCTGTCTCAAGGCATTTTCTGGTCTCCTTTGTCAAGTGGTGTTTTTTTCCCTTTTGGCTCTCTGAATGTTCTCAAAGAGGCGAATCTTACATCACTATCTATGCTTCAATCCTATTATGCCTAGCACCAGGTGGGTTGTGTGACCAATTGCGGCTGGGTTGGCCGTGTTTTCGGATTGAACCGAGGCCAATCTGGAGGAAAGCAGACGCACTTCCTAAAACTCACGTTCATGCTAATGACGAATTCAAATTTCGGTAAACTCCCTCCTTTCGCCAAAGTCTCCTAGTCCACAGAGCTACACCTGCGCGGTCTGGTGCTTTCAGTTATCTGGAAATATGCGGTTGTGGATTCTTTTGCTCGTATTGAGCTGGTGACCAAACGTAAAGACTGAACTACAGGAAAACTACTGCGCCGATTTCAACACGAGGTACCATGGAACTCGTCTGCGGGAGCGCATTATGGGGGTCCTAAGCACTTAATACTAAATTATGGAGTAAATACTTAATACCTGACTAAATACTAAGTACTGGACTGAATATTAATACTTAACTAAATATTAAATACAAAGTACTTGACAATACTAAAAAGTAGTTCATATTCAAAGCACACACTGACTGGAGCAAAACTACTGAACCTTTTTGAAAAATTAGGTACTGTCAGACTTGTACCCGCTCTACGTGGACAGTCGATGATCCACGTACCTTTCTAGTCCTGAAAGTACTGCTACTGCAAATCCAAAACACGTCAGAGAGAAACCTACTGTGTCAATTTCGATGCATGAGATGCTGGTGGACTATTCTGCTTCGAAGGAGTGCCTTTCAGGAAGCATTTCCTATTCAGAGGCGTCCATGGGATTTTAGGAAGGCAGGCTCATCATTAAGGCAATTGCTTGACGAGCGGAAGGGAGTGAGGAGTTTGAGCTTAATGAGCCCATGCTATGTACGCCCCTGTCTCCAATAAAGATTTAGATCAGTATTGGAAAATGCTAAAATTCCTTAAAATGCGAATACGCTGACCTACAGCAGAAGCTATTTCTGAACTGATTTCGAAATATGATTAGTCAGCACTAGAGATTCGCTTTATACGCTATCGGTAATCAAGTATTGATATAGCACTGAAAGTACTAAAAAGTGCTAATTATAAAGAGCGCAAATTGAACAACGGAATAACTTTAGGATTGAATATGAAGAAAAAAATATGAAATGACAATTGAATTTCCTCAGGAAAACGGTGTGCCTTTTGGGAGTTGTAAGTGCGTAAGTAGTGCAGGAGATACTAAGAAGTAATAGTATTTAAATACCAAAAGGGTCCAACATGGCATAAGCTAATGAACCTTCCAAGCAATGGAAACAGTCTTGTCGGTCTTGGCAAGCGGGGGTTTCACATACAGAGTTCGGTGTTAATTCGTCCATGCAGCACGTAGAGCCTTTCATTTGCGAGGGTGCTTCTCAGGGATGCTACAGTCTGCTTTTGATGCTTCACGCAAAAGCACCATTTTGAATGTTATGCTCCGCTGCCCATTAATTACAAGTATGTTTTCACAGGCGATTCTTATTCCCCGAAATCTCGTTTAGGTTCTTTACAGGATGTGATCCCGCACGATTCATTCTTTATTTTTCACGTGATCCCTAGATAGCTATGGTCACGGGACTCCACCCATGCCCTATGACGGCCTGGAGTTGAAGCCAGATCTCGCCGGTAGATGGTGCATCGATACGTAACAGGCCAATAGAGGCGCTTCTTTTGCATTGTGAATTAGGAAAATTACATTTCTGTCCCAGATAGCACTCTGTCCCTATAGCACTCTAATTGGGAGGCACGCAATATTTGCTTAACATCGTGAACAATTCGGCAGCCTCCCCTGTCATGTTCAGAGCACCACTTACTAGCTAGACAATTTTATGATCGTTAGAACTTGGTTAACTGTATGAACTTTGCCCAGGCCTAAGCAAACCCCTACTCCGTTGTTTATTGCCTAGCAGAAGACCTCATCCTGTCCGGTCGACATAGACCTAGGAATACACTCGGATCTATCATAAAGTAGGTATGTGCACCGGTTCAGTCGCTGCCACACCATCCCATGGATCTCGCCAAATATTTATTCTATGTTTAACGTTTAATGTTTGGTTTCAATCAACGTTTTTGAAGAATATTATGTTATGATATACAGGAAATAGGCCTAACTTCGCCTTAGAACAGGTTAAATGGAATTATCATTTGCCTATCAGTCATGAGTTACCATGAAATTGCCCTTTTCTTCAGTATTCTTTGGCAAAATGCCCAGGAAATGTAGTGTTCTCAAGTGTAACATTCAGGGCCTCCCAGTGGTTTCCAGGGGCCCGGGGCAAAACTAAACCGGAAACCTCTTGGGGGCCCACTTGAGGCCCTTTGGAGGACCCCCTTGAGACCCCTTGATACACTGGGCCCGGGGCAGATTGCCCCCTTTGCCCCCCCCTCCTCTGGGCGACCCTGGTAACAGTGGGTGCGGAACATACAAAGAAAATCCCACCCGTTTGCAATTCCGAAATTTCGCAAAATGCTATTCCGCATTCTTGATAGTGATTTGACTTCCTTCCCTTTGAGGTATTCAAATCACAGAATTTCATTATTTGTTAGGGTAAATCATTTTTGTCATGCACCGAATTCATTTCTTTACTAGACAGGTCAATGATAAGAGAACAAAGCAGAAGACTGGAAATTGTGGAAAACTGGCAAATCATCAGTAGGCCTAAATTTCTCCCATTCGTGCAATTTTATGTTCATGACATTTTTTATATTGATTTTATCATGGTATATTATTTTAAAATTATTTATCTACTTCAAAATAAATAGTAGTTTCATTGTCTTTTTTCCCACTCTGTCGGTTTTTTTATTTATTATTTATTATTATTATTATTTTTTTTTTTTTTGGGGGGGGGGGGAGGGGGGGCAGTGGCAGTGGCCGCACCTTAGAAATTGATTATTTATTGGACGGCAAGGCTTAGCTGGAGCATGGAAAGCCAACACCTTCTTACAACTTACGAAGTAGTGAAAATCCTCTCTCCTGAAGACCAGGAGATTATTCCTTAGGGAAATACGTAGTATTTGAATAGAAGTGAGAGGGATCAACGAGGAAAATCCAGTGCTTGTATATGCGTTGGACATTGACTATTCCATGGATTGGCAAAGTAACAGCTAATGTGTTTTGCGTTAGTCAGAGATTTATTCATTTGACTCGGGATCCTTGTGCATGAGTGAGTCAAGTGAAAAACACAGTATAAACCTGGCCATTCAATTACGAAGAGCAGCATAATCCAGAGAGCCAGAGAGAGCACTGAATGCCCATGGTTAAAGAAATAAAGACAAGCAATAGAGCTTGTTGCTTTATGCGGTCAATGCGTGGCCCTGCAGCTGCTGCCACTGCCATTTGGCGGGAGCTCGGGTCCCAATCAACCATAAGACTCGAGTCCTGTGACCATAGCTATCTAAGGATCATGGTGAGGGTTTCAACTTATAATGCCTCTACTCTTCAATAGAAACTCTTGAAACGCTTTTCTTTTCTCCGCTCTCAGGCAGTCGGCAATACCAACGAAGAGCTGACGCCTCCCTCAGGGGGCGGAAGAACTCCGCATTAGTCCCACACACACTGCCTTCTGTGCGCCAGCAAAAATGCAGAACAGTACATGATGTACACAAAACCTTGGTTCGAGGCAAAACGCTTTCATCTCTCACTTGGTGATACATTCGCCTAATACTTAGCACGAGTGCGTAGCTGAGCTCCTACTCTCTATACAATGGATCTCTAATGGATCGTCCCCATGTGGAAGAAATGGAGCAAGCCAAGTCTTTTTTTATGAAAGGGAGCTTAAGCGAACGTTCGCTCACTTTTCTGGAAATTACAGCATTATCGTTGAGGTGTAGCCCTTCACCTGAGCCAGTTAAGTTAGCATGGTTAGCTCAGACATACTCTACATACTAGATGCAAATACTTGTGATTGATCTCATATCTTCACGTCTCGATTGGGAAAGACTTCAAATTCTCTACGAATCGCGTCAGAAAATGTGGGAAGTATCATTTAGAAGAAGCTTAATCCAGAAATCTAGCTTTCTAGTGCAATTTCTATCCATTATTTTTTAAATATGAAAGTCAATGTGTCTGTCTGTGCCCAGCCGACTCAAATGTGAACAGATGACAGAGCCACGGTTCAACAGATGCCGGGGCACCCTCATGCATCAAACACAACATGGACCTATATTGCATGAATATTGTTGCCTATTCCTCCAGAGACTGGCAGTGGCGATATCCCCGTCCTCGGAGCATGCGATAATCAGAGAAACCGGGATCGTGACGCGTTTCGACCGACGCCACTGGTTTCAGTTGTGACAACTCGAGGCCTTCCTATCGTTAGACAACTCATCAGGCTCATCTAACAATCAGGTTATCCTCTTCTCCCATTTCAATCGAAATTTGTTCAAATTTGTTTGGTCTATCGATGAATGACCTCAGCCTCTACAAAATTACTCTTATATGACGAAGTTAATGTGGGCTGAAAAATGCATTCATCATGACGTGTACAATCTCACTATGGCATTCTCTTGCAACAAATAAGAACATCGTCATCAAGTTCTGAACAGGGTGCAGTGGAGCCGATGCAGAGGAAGCTTGGTCAAAAGTGTTACAAGTGCAAATGGTGATAGAGGGGGCTACAGCACTTCACTTATAAGAATCATAACTCCTCATTCAGCAGAGGCGATTAAGAAGCATAACTCTTCATATGGGGAGATCACAGGGCATGAATATCGGAAAACGATGCTGCTCCTCATCTATTCCACTTCCCCTCGGCAATCCCTGCGTTGGACCTTGCGATTTGTTGTTCATGAATCTGAAATCAAGAAAGATCGCATTTATTTTAAATTGTTCTTTATGACATGATTGTACATTGTTCACATTGATCTTGCTGGGTCCAGGATGCCTAGCTGAACAACAGTTCCCCGTTTAAAAAAATGTCAGACCTTGCGTTAATAGTGTAGAAGAAGCGCGAAAATGGAAAAGGCAGATGTGCGGGTTGGGATATAAATAGTTTTTTTTTATGGTGCAAGACTTGTATTTACAAGAGGATGGAAGAAGGAACTACTGCTGAGAGTCAAGAGAAAACTGACATGGCAATATTTAATCTATAATGACAAATATTCTGATATTTATGATAATTGCGGTCATTGTACTATGTTCCTGCAAAAAGTAAGCGCGTCAGTGGGTCAGGATTTGGATAAATACTTGTGCAAAAGCTAATAAAATTTATTCTATGAAATTTTTTTATTTGTCTCAAAGAAAAAGAAGATTAAATGGATAACTGATCTAAAAAAGTGTTAGGACTGAATAACGAAATTCCATCCGCAAATGTATTGGCCGACTTTCTCGGATCGTTAGGCACCACTGTGCGTAGATGGAACTGATACATTTCGGCGCAAGTGTGAACTTTATTTGGTGTTGAGAAGGAAACTGACTGTGCTTTTGACTGTGCTTCTGACAGAGACTTGCTTGAAAAAATTCACTTAAGGTGGCCTCATTGCATTATGAAAAAGATTCCAGATTTCAACGTTTTAGCTCAAATGGTTCTCGAAATATACTGCCCCAAAGTTAGTCTAACCAGAGGAAAGGTGACTAGGTGTCGAACGCTTATCTCTGGCCCTAATTTAGCGATGAAAGTGTTTTTTAATTCAAGCAAGGCCGATGCAAAGCCGAAGCATATTTTTATTATGAACTTTTCCCTATCTTTAATTACACGAAAATTCCACACAGCACGGTGACATCCCAGGGATGTTCCCAACTGGACGACTTGTCCCAAGGTCTTTATGGGACATCCTAGGGGCACCTTCAGTCGGACGGTTTCCGAAATTTCGAAAGGAATGTCTTCGGAACATCTTAGAGATGGGCAGTTCCAGAATAATTGGAACAAAAGCGGTAAAAAAAAAGAAGCTATTTACAAAACTGTCATCCAACTTACGTTTCCTGCAATGCATGGGTACTAAACTTGGACTAAGTAAGCCCATTAAAGACCCGTTAAAAATTCATCACCTGGAGTGGGATGGTTTTTCATTATTCCTGCACCAATCCATTTGAATGAATTTAACACTTGCTTGGTGAATCTCGCTTTTTGACTAATATGTTGTGTCAGTAATGCTGGAAAACTCTCCTAGCCAATTCATTTTTGAGCAACAAAAAAAAAGACAATTGGCAGGAAGAAAGGTGATGGTCTATGTCTTTTTTTAATATGGAAACTTCAGGTCAAGCCAAATTAGACAAAATTGGAAGGGAAGCAGCAGAACGAAAACCGTTTTCTAAACTGTTACGTCAGTAACACGAAATGAATGGCCTTCCTTTTTTTCATCCATGGGAGAAATCAGAAAATTTTGATCGGAATAGGTACAGGTATTTATGCCCTACTAGGCGCTGTTGAAGTAGGATTTCTGGACCAAACCATCTTTAAGGTATGAAATCACGATTTCGTTTGAGTCTGGTGTTACGTAAGTAACTTTGGAACTGCCCAGTAGTCTTTGTCACCTTCAGTCAGGTGCATAACTTTGACGATAGATGTCTCACACGTGCCCTGATCTCCGACCTGATCTTTCTATTAATTGTATCAACTTTATTTGTACAGAAGAGAAGTAATGATTTTCGTACCATACATCAGGAAAACTGCCCCTGAGGAAAGTGAACAAGTTGAGGTTCTAATTTTAATATATATTCTGTTATATTCTCATTAATGATGTCTGATCAGCATGTCTGAGTACCACTATCCTGGTTGGAAATCTGAGCCCACGCTTCAGCTGTAAAGAAGCAAGGTCTACTTATCTCGTCCATTTAACTGGACGATTTCTCATAAAAATGCCAAATTATACTCCGTGGAGATGTGTCTCTCTTATAGAGTATAACTAGAGGTGACTCTCCGAGGGGTGGGGAAGAGACAAAATAATACAGAGACATCTGGTGGATTGTTATGAACAACACTTCCGTGGGGCGTGCTTAGTGGCAGCTGAATCCGGAATCGACTCATTCGAGGATTCGACCCATAGGGAGTCCTCAACATAATACGCGTCTCGTTGAGTCCGCTGCTCGACCAAGGAGTTGTTCATGTGCGCACGCTGGGTGGAGGATCGACAGCGGCATCTATATTGCGACCCTGTCAATGAATAAGATTCGAACAGAGTGTCGCCTCTAGATGCACTCTAGAGATGAGCGGGCCGGCCCGCGGCCAGCTAAGCCCGCGGGCAGCCCGGCTCGTTGTCTGGGCTCGAGTCTATTCGGTGAAGAGGTCGTGCGGGCCGGGGCCCGTCCACGCGGAAGTACTTTTTTTTTCTCTGCTTCAAGTCCGTGGGATGGAGATAAGCGGGCCGTCTAGGGGGGCCGCAAAGCCTGCGGTGCGACTCGGTGGAGGGTCAGGGCTTTTGCCCGTATTTGTTTTCCCCCCTCTCAAGCCCATGGGTAAAAAGGATAGAAATATATACAGGGTGCGGCAAAATTATGGGAACACGACCCCCAACCACGGTGAAAAGACCAATAACTCAGTAAATATCTTCATTCCGCCTCAGCCCAATATAGTCTACTCAAAATGACCTCCCCTTGCATCGATTAACGCTTGCAGTCGACGTGGAAAGTCGTCCACGGCACGGTCGATGAAAACTTAAAAAATGTTTGGTAAGGAAGTCGTGTTCCCGTAATTTTGCCGCACCCTGTACGAATGTCTCTCTTGAATCACATTCGAGAGGGAATTTGATGCATGGCTGTCGCCTTGGCGTCTTTTTGAGTCTCTTTCCCAGCCAGTACCCGTTTTCCTGGCTCCAGACTCTCAGTCCCCATGTCTACATCTCCCATTTTTCGTGGGATCTTTTTCCACATGGAATTCTCAACGATACCTTGTAGAGCTGAGGCTAAAAATAAACTGTACTTAATCACAATGAAGTCTCAGTCTATACGAACTCTGAAGAGACTCAGACCAGAGAAGAAGGAACGCTAGTCAAACTGGTGCGGGCTCTGGCCGACGGAATCGAAAAGGGTCGGGCTTGGGCCGAAAGAGTAACGTCAGTTCGGTAGAGGTGGACTCGGGCCGATGTAAGCGGGTACGGGCCGGGCTCGGGCCTGAAAATCTCGGCCCGCCTCATCTCTACTGCACTCAACTCAATGCTCTAATTGAGGATTTCAAGCAATGAATTTCCCTCCTTTCCCATCATTCTCAAATCTGTCCAGAAGGTAATACTAGGGAGATAAAGGGTAGTCTTGTATGGCAAAAATGAGTCTGTTTTAAAAGAAAGCATCCAGATATTTTGATATCGCTGAGATGTCCGCGCAAATAGTACCTGGGACTTCTCACTTGTCCCAAGGGGATATCCTCGAGGATGTACTTGTGCTGTGAAGGAATGGTTCATTCTCAAACAAATTTTAAATGCCGAACTTTACATAGAAATTTCGAACATTGAGAAACATGGTAACACAATGAGAATTTGTACCGATGAAGTACTAGTCAAAGCCATGTAAAAAGTTCAAGTCGAAACGTCAGATTTTGCTCGTAGATTCCACTCACTTTAACGGTTTATATATCTTGTTTTAAACAAGATATTAACTTCAAACTAGTATCAAATGGAGACTCTTCTCATATTTATGACTCGTGCCATACTTTGAATTTCACGCCTGTTTTTTTTTGTACAGGCGCTCTTTTTAATTTGATGAAGGAAGGTTGCCAATACGAGGTCTAGATAATTTCAACCGTAATAAATAAATTCATAACTCAAAGGGGCCACCATGCATGAATTTTACTTGGCAAGTTCCTGTCGGAGGCACAACTAACGGGAATGTTAACTTGATATTCCTACTTGTGTAAGAGTCTGACCGTTCTAGGATTTTGATCTTATCCAATTTTTTTTTCCAGTCATCGCACGAAAACCTTTTCGAAAGGAAATAGGAGGAGAACTGAGAGAAGTCCAGAGAAGGTAGTCGTTATAGGAGATGCAGAAAAAAGGAGATGTCGAAGAGGAGCTCCCCCGCAATCTTATTTTTGCTTCTTCCTTAAAATTATAAAGGATTCTTTCGTCCCTCCTCCGTTGGCATATGCGCTTCGTCCCTGGGATCGGGGTTTGCCAAAACTTTTCCTCCCTCTCCATTGACTGTTGCCATCTGGATTTTATTTTTTCTACTCCTGTATGTCAAGTTTGTAAATCATCATCCCCGCATCATACTTCCATGTTGTTTGTCAGAAGTACAAAGCAGCACGCCAGATCCTTTACTCAGGATTGGTGACTACCACTTATGAATAATAAAGACAAACGATTGTTCTTTCTTTCGTGTCTTCCCTGAGGCAATTGAACAACAACTTGCTTGTATCATTATAAGACACTTTCAACCCACCTTACAGTCATTCCATACGAACTCAACCAGGCAGGGTGCTCGACCATCTCGGATTTCGCGATAAAAATTTTTCAGCGATTGCAGTCAATCTAAGGACTCCGTAGAAAAAAAGAATCGGCTCCATTGGGTCTGCATTTATCGAGATATCGCCCCTTTAACTCTGGGGGGAAACGGGAAAATCCCATGAACGGCAAAATTTTCATCTCAGGAACCGTTCATCGTACGGAGGCGTGCAATGGGAGCTCTTCGATAGATAATCAAGAATCTTCATACATCCTTGGGAGTTTGAACGAGAGTTCAGCATCATAGTTGAGTTCGAAAATGTGGAATTTAGACCATTTTGACCGTCAAATATCCCTATGTGGCGAGGGAAAAGGCAATTCTCTCGTTACGGTAAGTTGCACTCCACTTTCGGTTGCATCAATAAAGCAAGTTACTTGTTTGACTTTTTGTCCTCTACATAGAGAAAAATTTATCTTGAACTTGAACTTGGAATTTTCTCATTTTCGGTAAACTTTGTTCTAGTATTTTTCGATATAGTGGAGCACTTACGGTATCATGGGAAGTGTCTCCAGGAAGGTGAGTCAAAGACCTTTCCAACGATATATAATTTGGAGTGACTTTTTAAAAAAAAAAAAAAGGAAATACAATTCCGAAAGTTGCGTACTCAAAAATTTTACTTTTTGGAGTGATTGATCACAGTCGTGTAATATATCCCTAGAATGGTCTCAGAGCTTCGTATAATGAATTGGGTTCGTCCCACCTGGTTTCTGCATAACTGCTCAGAGACTACTCTAGGGATATATTACACGACTGTGATCAATCACTCCAAAAAGTAAAATTTTTGAGTACGCAACTTTCGGAATTGTATTTACCTTTGCAAGTATTCTTTACTTGTCCTCGTTGCCCCCCCCCCCCCCCCCTCCACACACAATCTTCGTACTCCCAGGAAGATTTAGGCTTGATCCAGAACAGTCAACTGTACCACACTAAGACCAAGGCCATACCAACAACTGTAGAGGCAATTTGGAGCAGTCGAGTGCTTTCATGCTTAACAGCATGATGTTATAAACAATTTGCAGCTAAAATTTTAGTCCTTACCGTCTAAGTGCAAGTACGTGTATTTTCAACGTGGAGAAGATAATCACTACGTTTCTTCATCACGTGGATCGGCCCTACGAGCTTCAGTCTGATGAGCGGAGAACCTTTCTTGTGCCTTCTTCCTATCAATGAAACCGTCGCCTATGAATGCACTCTCGTTTGAGGATGTGAGGAGGCCTTTCACAACGCTTGCCGGCAAATTGAACAGATCACCTTTCCAATGGAGCTTTCGAACGATGGCCAATAGTAACGCTTCCACTACTTTGGTCGGACTAACAAAAATATTTCATGAATTGTTGAGGGGGCTGGCAGAGTCCTTTCGGCCAATTTTTATTTTTTGTGGGAGGGGGGGAGGGGGGAAGAGAGCCCTCTGCACACCCTATGAATCGCCGCCTATGGGTAAGAGCAAGAAACTGGAAAAAAAAGATAATTAGATTGGTTTTCCACAGAGGGAATGTTTTTAATCATATTGGCATCAGTTTGTACCATTGTAGGGAGCAACTGATAGTGTGAAGGCAGTGTTGATAAGAAAATCTTCTAGAATATAAATAAGGCATGTCTGACCTTTCAACAAAAGCTTGAAGGTGGTTATTTTAACTACGAAAGGGACTTGTACCACCTGTACCCCTAAACTAACAATTGGGAAATGCCCGTTGCTGGTACAAGAAGCTTTTTTGAATACATGGTCTGACCTGTAAGAACTCCTCTAACCCCACTCTTCCCAATTACATGTACATCCTCGCCTAAGAGTTCACTTCCAAATGCACCCTTATTGAAGGATCAGTATTTGGATTTGAAGGCTTTGCAATTTTTTTTTATTGCTGCAAAAAACACGTGGCAGAAAAACAGGTTCTAATCATTCTTGCATTCTTTAACGCTGGAGGATTACTTTGTCAGCAAGGATTTCTCCCTTAAATGCATCAGAGCTTTGAAACTTTATTCTGTCTGTATAAATCAAAGTTTCAGGACTGTTAGATGCGGCAAGAAAATGACTGCTAATGTCAGCACTTACGCAACAAAAGATTGTGAAAAGTCATAAAATGCTATCTGCAAATATACATCTGAGACAGCAAAGCTCTTAAGTGATATGCTTATGACGACCATCATGAACCTCATCCTCAAAGACAGAACGCATTTACCCTTTAGCAGCAGGTTTTCTGACACGCTATGAGAGAAGCCTGAGAATTTCTAGGGCATACCACTGAAGGGGTTAATCAAGGAAGAGGACTGTTTGCTATTCCATCAAACTATGAAAAAGGCCATACGTTTCCAGAATGTATTCCATGAAGTTTCTCAGTAAAAATTGCCATTAGGTAACAGAAAGCACAAATGCAAATGGAGGATTATAAAGCGCTCATAAGGCAAGAAGTTGTTCTCTCAGGTTATCAACAGTCTCAATTCACATCCTCATGAGAAGCTCATCAACTCACATCCTCATGAGAAGCTCATGAGGATGTGAGTTGAGACTGTAGATTAGTGAATACACTAATCAAACACAAGAATAGCACATGAATATGTTTATTGTGAGCCTTCATTCACAATATCCTATGAAAACAAAGCAACAGGAAGGCAACAATCACAAAAGATACAATGAAAACCCTTTGCAAAAATAATTGCGAAGTATGCTCCCAAACATGAATTGGCATGATGAGGAACGCATCAAGGAGAAAGTGCGACTGAGCAAGACTCAGGTTCACACTGAATCACTGAAATTTTAAAAGCAAGTTATTTTGCCACACATGCATACTAGAACCCCTTGATATGACTGTAATGTGAAATAAGGAGTTTGCAGCTGACATTCCCTATGCTTGCAACAAGCATGTACCAGTTATATATCCCATAACATTCACAAAAACACTTTTGTTCATTCAACAAGTATGAGATTGAATTTCATGCCTTCAGCCATAGAAAGAATTCAATCCAGCTGCTTTGCCTCTCAACTCCCACTGTCATGAATTGCAGGCAGTCATTCATGAAAGAATAAACAACTGTTATTTTACCCTGCAAGAATGATTTGATTTTGGCCCTTTCTGGGTTAGTATGATTCAAAAGAAGAAATGATGGGCCAGGAAGGAATGTAAAGAGTGAAAAAAAAAAACCTAACAAACATCAGAAATTGGAGTGTCCAGCAACCTTATTGAAATATCACCTGCAGACTGCATCACTCCACACTAAGACAATGATTGATGATAGCATAAAATAGATTGCAGTATCTATGCTCTTAGCTTCTTGCAGAGAAGTATCTGTAGATGAGTGAAGCCACCAGAGCAACAGACATTGGAATCACCCAAGACTTCCATGAGCTGCACAAAAACAAGGAATGACAGTATTGAAAACAGTGTATCAACAATTTTACCATCACTCTTGCAAGACATTATGAAAAAAAAAACCTTAAATCCTTTTCAAGAAAGTATTTTAGCATCCATAGAAATAAAGCAGTTTTGAAAAATTTCCATCCTGATGGACTCTTAGAGGACTCAAATACAGCAACCAGTTTGTCTCTGGATTACTTCTGTACATTTTATGTCAAAAAACACACTGTCATTTAGGAATAAGTTAACAAAACCTAATGTTCCAGAAAACATCTAAATGAATAATAGAAACAGATTATGAACCATTTTGCAGTCAAGCTGCCCTGGTTGCATTATTGGGCAGGCCATAAGCAAAGAAACAGATTCCTTCATGAAAGAACTGTTCAAGGCTCTGAAATCATGAAAGGAGGCATCTAGCAGGAGATAAGAATACATATGTGCAGTACCTGTTGAAAAAATCTTGCAGCATAAGCAGCAGAACCAGCAACATTTAAAAACAGATATGACATAAGCAGCACTTCCAGCAGCTGCAATATGAAGTGCACCCATAGTGTTGTTCTCAGCTAGTCACAAAGCTCCAACAAAGACCCTCTCTTTTGGTCCCTACAGCGATGAAGCTGCAAATATCTGCAGTCATTTTATTCATTGCTGGTGTGCATAGCCTTCTAAACCATCTGCTAAACTTCTGCTAAACCATCATACTAATGACAAATTATTGTCATTAGTATGATGGTTTTAGTTATCAAACAACTGTTTAAAATAATCATTGATGGTTTGGACACTTTCTACAACATTGAGTAAAGAGTATATGAGGATGTGTGCAAAATGCATCAAATTTATCACACTCACCCAATTAAAGCACTTCCCAAGCACAGTTGCTAGCAATTTCACAAATACTTTGTTTCAATCAACATGGTCAAGGTGACAACTGTTCGCTGTTAGTGTGACATGGTGTTACTCAGTTTTCTTACCATCAGGTAGGGATTGCACTAAGTTTCTTGCCCTTCCCTTGTGCCCATGCATTCTGGGTGTCCCTGGACACCTAAGATGCACAGGCAGAAGGTCTAGGACTACTGTATTAAATATCATACTGCTTGGTTATGTTAAGTCAGCAAATAAACATGGATCGCTGGACATTTACTCTCAGGGAACCCTCCAAGATTCCCTCATGAAAGTAACACCCTTAATTTTCACCCTTCCATATGAGACCTGAGGGTTCCAGGGACCCCTATGGCAAAAAATCTAGCACAGCCCCTGCCAGGTTTATCCTATGAATGGCACTGAATACAAGCTTGTATAACAGTGAAAAGCCATTTCCACAGCCTTTAGCTGCCAGGCCCTTGTCTGACAACTACATGACAGAGGCAAAAGCATAATGGGAAATATCTGATAGTGGAAAAAAAAAAACCCATCCTGTTTAACACCTTATGAAACCAACTGGAAATTCTAGGTTCATAACTTATATAGGAAACACAACAGAAATAGTTTCTAGAAAGTTCCAGGTGTCTGGGTTGTCTGGATAAAGATCAGTAGTCATTCGAGCAGGAATAAAATATATATCTTTTTTCTCACACAAGGTGGATACAGTATCAGCATTGCTCAAATGATTTCACTCCTTTGATGCCATTAAGGCTGTTTTTTATGCTGTGTCATTGCATTCTTGGTTATGTAGTGTCTTTGGGCTTCAGGTGATAAGGTAATGCCTGAAATTGCAGATGTGTTTAGAGTAAAAGGACTAGAGAGGGAATAGTGATCCCCCAATCAAACTTTGGACTCTGTTCTGTAGAGTGTCTTATCTCTCCAGCCCTTCTTTCAACAATAATTGCCTGTAACAACTACAGAAGTTTTTATTGCATCTTTTTTTCCTGAATGTGGAATTATGAGTTTCATCTATAAACTTGTCCTGAGCAAAGAGCATTCCCCCAGAAACCAATGTTCGTTTTCAGAATAGGAATTGGAAGAGTGGAGGCTGAGAAATAGGATTCTTATGTGGTGGTCTCCACTGAAAACCTCACAGAAATAGCTCAGTTTTACCTCACTTTTCTCCATTGTTTTGCTACTAAAGCCAAGTCAGTGAAGCATAAACAGAAATAAGACAAATTAAAAATCAAATTCTTGAACTACATGTCATGAGCTTCCCTGATAACTGGGAGCCATTACTCATAGAAAGAAGGGTTAGTCTGCAAAGATGCCCAACTTTTGGAGACAATAACTGAGTAGATAGAACTTTGATATTTTCTGATTATACATATGTGATCATGAATTCACAGACTATCCTTTGATGTCCAACAACTTGGGTTTTGTCAAAACCCACAACATGTTGATTTTCGTTGTTCCATCCAAAATATGGTAAAATACTGTAGTTATTACTGGCAATCATAGTTTAAAATAGCCCTTTAATACAGTGACTTTCCTGATATGATATGACATGATACTGCAGTCAAGAGCATTGCAATAAGAATGCAGCCATTAGAAGCAGGCTTCTTGGTCATAAAAGGGACATCTGTAAAGACACTACTGCTTCCTGATACATGGAAAAGGGGAATTTCCCTATCAAAGCTTCAATGACTGTTGCTTTCTACCCAAATAACCTAGATGAGTGGTATTCAAGTGGTGCCTGCTGGTCAACATGCAGCCCAGGCCAAGTTCATGTTTTTATGCAGCCCCCTAAGATGTGTGAAGAATTAACATTTTAAAATTCAATTTTTAACAGGCACTCATGAGTAATGGCAATATTGAAATATTTTGCTTATAAGTAGCAAGTTCAGCCATTGCTAAGATATTCCAAAACTCATCATTGTATGCTTATATTTAGATGCTTATATACTAAAGTATGCACCTGCAGAACTTGCTAAAATCAAGAATTTATATACTGCAACGATAAATGTCTTACCTTGAAAGTAAGCAGTGAAAGGTAAGTGAAGAAGGTGGGCTTTTTGAAAATACAACCTGCAACAAAGCAGCACTAAGAACCAGTGTGTTCAAATGAGCCCTAACTCCAAGTAGTGGCAGTTTCAGTGACTACAAGAGGCTGGTGTGTAGATGCGGCAGGTATGGGCAGCTTTTGATTGCCATTCATGTTCAAAATGAGACTTCCTGGCTTAAAGTAGCTTGACCTGGAAGTCAAGTGACCAGTTAAAGGGTTATTCTTGCAGAATTGTTGGATTTTTTCCATGCTGGCCACTCCAGGCTGAACATATTTGTGCAACCTACTCAAGATGAACCCAAGTATCCATGTAGCCCTTATCTCAAAAAGTTTGGGGACCACTGACCTAGACTCTTGAAAACTTTCAGGAAAATATTTTTGAGGGTTTTCTGTGATAGAAAAAATATACAGATTTAGCCTTCCTACAGTTTGTCTTATAAAGCCTCAAATAGGGCATATTTTTTGTGCCACCCAGTATATCTGGACAGAAACACTTTAGTTCACAAAAAACCTATGCTTTCCAAAATTTGTTTTTCATCAGAGTATTTACATGTGTAGCAAATGGACCTTGCAGGACTACACCCACTAAGGAGGAGAGAAAATGGTCAGGAATTGAAAAGAACATTTTGAACCATTCAAGCCTTCATAATAAGGTTACAATTTCATTGATCCCTACAGTCTCAGTGTGGCATGAGAGTCTACTGTTAAGCACAGCAAGGGCCATTTTGTTAAGTAGAGAGCTAATTAACCTAGAGAGTACATATCATCACTCTCCCTACTCTTCTCCAACTTCTCTTAAGGCTCCCATGGAAATTTTAGCATGAATGAGTGGAAGATTTAGAGATTAAAATTGCTTGCTAGGATGACAGTAATGCTCCAAAATGAGCTGTATAATAATTGGAATGCAATACGGTCATAAAGACTTCAGCATTGCTTGAATCTAAACTTAGAACACCCAACACCATCAATTGTGCACTGCAATTGACCTTTCTCAATGTCCACAGAGAAGTTTTTATCTCCATACAGGGTTGTAAGGGCCATAAAAGGTATTTTCCCATGTCCTACTACTAAAGTGCTGGATGCTGTCAACTGAACCTTTGTTACTGAACAAATCTCTAAATCACAGGCAACTTGAACTCAAAGAAGTCAGCTTCTATATTTAACAAACAGAATGGAATGGTTGCCCACTATTCATTGTCAATATTAGACCTTCTGATTATGCTTCCATGAGAATTTTTATGAGGCACTTACCAGGATGTTATCACCAATCCATATAATGACCAAATTTCAACAGACAACCAAATTATGACAAATCAAAACAATTCCTCAAACCTCACCTTTCATTACTATCACTCCACTTGATAGGTCCCTTCTCTTTTGTGTGCTGCTTATCATCCTGGAAGAAAAAAAACCATTCAATTACATTTATTTCATATTTCAGGAAGCATTTCAGTCAAATTGTATTCTGAGAATGGAAAAGACCCTTTCTTTAGCTGTGGACAAAGCATACTGTTTCATGGAGTTCAAAATTAAAGTTAAAAAATAGTAAAAAAAATTGTACCCTTGTAACCAATACTCAAATCTCAATAAATAAAGTTATTGCTTTCAGGGGACATTTTATTTCAAACATAGAAGGCCAGGCATTGCAGAGAGAGAGAGAGAGAGAGAGAGAGATATTGCAATGCCAAAAACATGACAAGGACACGGAGAGGTTGGGGAAGGCAATAGAGGTGGCACTGTGCTGAATTTAGGCAAAACAGAGATGAGGCTTCTAGAGACATCAATTACTGACAGAGAAAAGAAGGTTTTGGATCTATTACAGATGATCTGAAGTTATCATTTATTGACACTTGTCACCAGCAAAAATATGTGCTTAGTATTTTTTTTTAGTACCTATTAACAGTGCAGCTGACTAACCCCTTTTTTTTCCATAATGAGGAGTAATTTGCAGTAAGCTCAACATAGTCAATAAATGGTAAAAAATTATCCAATAGCTATATGTCCATATCACATTTGAGTTATCAGCTATGTCAATTAAAACTTGCAAATACAGTGATATGGTGTCATCCTATGCAATGGATGTAGGGGTTTATAACAGCAAGTCTAGTTTTGAACATGTTTTTTAATGACTGATGCAATTTATATTTCAACTTCTGACAAATATATCCAAAATTAAGACTATCCATTTTGATAGCTGAGTATCGAAAAATCCTGAGGGTTACAAAAAGCAGATCATAAGTTATTTTATCTTGGATGCTGTTTGGACAATGTTATTTAATATCAATATGCTTGCATTCTATTATTTCCTCCTTATATTTACTACTTATTTATTTATTTTGTAAATTTTATCTACTTAAGTTTATTTATTGGTGTATCTTTCATCTTTGCTGCTGTCCAGCAGGCCTGGCTTATTCTTGAGAGAAGTTTGTGTTCTTTTCCTCTTTTACTTAGGCAACATGGGAGTTATAGTTTTCTCACCATGCCTAATTCACTTTCTCTGCCTGTGACTTACCAAGGAAGAAATAAAAATATGAGCTGCTCTTTGAAATTCTTTGGTGGTTGGAAGATAACATACAGGGTGACCAGAAAGAAATTGTACCATAACAAATGTCTGTATCTTGGTAAATAATTAATATTTCCTTTGATTCCAGGTTTATTGGATGAAGTGAATAATCAAGTTGTAGTAAATGACAACATGGGTGATAACTGATTAACAGCGGAAGAGAGTGTTTATGGTTACACAGTATGTTGAAACAAACTCAAGTCACTGAGGGCATCCATGTATGGTTCACAACCCAAAAACATGCAGGTTGCTCAGGCTGCTAACACATGGAGTTCCAAAAAAAATCAATTAATTATATTTAACAATATTTAAATTAGCCTTTGAGAATAACTTAAGAAAGGAGACCACTCATGTAAAAGTCATGGAGGAGTTAAAGTTGTTTCCTTACAAGATTAGTGTTTGGTAATCGTTATCTGACTATGATAAAGAGAGACAATTGCATTTTTCAAATTTAATGTCTGAGAGGCTGAACAGAAACATTCTATATGCAGATGACACAATTTATTCCAATGAGTACCATATTTATCTCAATAGCACAGTGAACAAACAGAACTACAGATATTGGGGCTCACATCCACTAGATGAAGTTTTGGAGGATCCCCTTCATTCACCAAAAATTACTGTTTGGTGTGGCCTCAGTAAACAATGCATCTTTGTCCTATTCATTTTTAAAGATGGTGGTGAAACAGTCGCCAATAATGCTGAGCAATACTTGACCATACTAAATTCTAAACTGTGACCTGTGTTAAAAAAGGATGGAAACAGGTCAATATTAGTTTCACCAGGATGGAGCCATATCACATGCAGCAAGAATCTGCATGGACTGGCTCAAGAAACACTTTCCTGGAAAACTTACTCAGAGGTGATACGGAATGGCCTCAGCACTCTCCAGATTTATCTCCATAAGATAATTTCTTTGGGGATATGTTAAAGACATTGTTTTTCAAGAACTCCCACAAAGTCTCAAGAAGTTGAAAGAATTCCCTTGTAGGTGGATGTGGAATGTCCCCCAAGAAATGCTAGAAAGCATTATAGACAATTTCATTTTAAAGCTGTCAGTGTGCATTCAAGATGAGGTGATTATGTGGAGCATCTCATTTGACACAATTAGTTCAAAATAGGATTGACAATTTTTTAAGACTGTTATTATGTACAAGTATCAATAAACTGTCTAGCATATTTTTTTTAAATATATATTTTTGTAATAGCACACTTTTTTCTGGTCATATTGTATCACAAGATTCTTTTATAATTAGGTCTGTATGTCCTCAAAACAAATGGTTCTCAACCTTTATTTTGAGACTGAACACCATGCATTAATTTTTTTGTGATAGCACACTGAACTATGTTCAGTGTGCTAAAAGTTGGGGAAAAAGTTGCCTCATGAACAAAAGGAGCCAAAGTACCAGAAAGTGGGTAGCCTAGGCTAATGCTTGAGTGGAGAGCACTAAGGAAAGATATAATGGAGATGCTAGGTGGGAATTTTCATGATAAGCCTTCAGCCTAAGCCAAGGATGGTGTTCCACCCTTGGCTTAGGCTGTTTGGAAAAAAAGAACAATTCTTGCATTTTTTCCTTACAAGGCTCAAATATTATGTCACATCTGAGCTTTGCAGATGGTACACAGGATGAGAATCACTGCTCTAAACATCTTAAAAGTTTCATCTTTTACCTCTGGCTACTTTGCTTAACAAAGGAATTTTACTTCTGCACTCACAGATCTGTTTCTGACCAGGAGTAACAATTACTCCAAGTGATTCTTTCCTTTTGCACTTCAGAATCCATTGAACAGATCTCTAACTCACCCCTATATCTTCGGCAATTTAAAGCTGGGATTTGAGAGAAGCAACGGCTTCTAATATGTAACGTGTATGTTTCCTTCAATATAAGCTCATTCTAATTTTGGCCTAAAACTGCCTCAATTCCTCTCAGATGAACCAAAACATGAATCCATCTGTTAAATGCACAGTTCTTCCAAACCATGCCTGATTATTCTTATAAAATTCATGCCCTGTCATATCTTTTCTCAAAATAACAGGCTTTAATATAGGCTTCATCTTGCATGGAGACTACCATTTTCAAGAACAGAGTGAAAGAATATTGGGCCAAAATTGGGGCAAACTGTGTGGACTAACCATTCTACTGCCAATAATTTTCCCCATGTGAAAGCAAATATTTGTATTACATTTAAAAAATTTTTTTTCTTTTTTTGGTAAAATGTTTTCAGAAAAAAGGACAAGAATTTAAAGATGTTTACAGAAAAGTCAGAAGTAATAACAAAAATCCTTTGTTGTGCTACATGCTGTCTCAAATGTTTAAAAAATTTTTCAGACAATTATGGAATTTTCATGGACCACCAGGAATAAGCTTTGATAATTTCCAAATGTGATCACATGGTGTAGGCAATGATACCACCCTAGTTAATCTTTGTAACCTTCCACATTCCTCTAATCTCTCCTTTAGCAATTTGCACACAAAATCCTCAGTACCCACAATCTGGCTGATATATTTGGCTCTTTCTACTTTCTCACAAGGCTAAAATATAAAAAAAGTAGCCAGTAAAAATGTGTTGTTTCTAATAACAAAGACACAGACTAATGGGACCACTCATTCATGTATCCTAGTAAGTCTACAAAGCTGTTATCAGTGAGTCTAATGAATACCTCATGTAGTTCTCCAATTTTATATTGCTTCATCAGCTCTCTTGCATCACTTGAATGTCCAACATCTTCAAACTGCTCAGTGGCTATCTTCCCACCCTGTTCAAGCAGGACTTCTTCTCCTCCAGGATGCTGCAGGAATAAGAATCATTGGATCAGCAAAGGAAGTAGCCATCTAATTGAAAGGGTGGTCCAACCAATGAAGCATCAATATGAGAACATGGTATGGAACGCGGTATGGAACATTTATACTTTGCGAAATGGCAAACACATATTTAAAGTATGTCCCCATTGAAATACGTGACTTATGGGGACGAAAGTCTTGATTTGTTATCAAAATCATTACTTCTATGATTTCTAGTGTGCCTAACTTGAAATCTTTTCATGTGTCCCTTTTTGTAAGGGTGGAGAATACATTTTGAAATACTTCCCTCCTATAATCAACGCTAAGGAGACATATTTCAAAATTAGGATTTTTCCTGTACTCAGCCATCAAACAGGTACTTCTGAGGGAAGTTTGAATTTTCTGTCTCTGTTTCATTGGAAAAAAAAATTCAGGAAAATGAGACTGAAAAAAAGTGCCCTGATGGGTTTTAACAAAAATTTTTTTTCTTTGGAAACGTAGGCTCAGGGAACTCCATGCCACCCAGTTTCAGCCTTATATGTTTCCCCTTTTTGCTGGCGGAAAAAATGTATTTGGAAAAGCGACTCACCCAAAAGCTGTGCTCTGGGGAGATGCACAACAAAAGTTGAAATTTTCCTTAAATCAACATCACATCCATTATGCGTGCACCAGCTACTTTTTTATTTCTGCCCAATTCAGTAGGATATGAAAAATTATTTGAAAATGTTCCATCCCCAAGAAATATGAACCCCAAAAATATTTTGGAAATTTGACATTTGAGCTCAGTGCATCAGCGGTCACATTCTCGCCAAGTTTCAACTTTCCATGTGTCTCCGTTTGATTGAAGCAAAGAGAACAATTTGAAAATATGTTCCCCAAAAAGGTGTGCCCCTATGGCATGTATCACCTAAGTATAATTTTTCCTGAACTCATCATGCGAATAGCTACTTGTGTCAATGAGTCAGCTACTCATGATTGTCTATATATAATAAAAGTATAATTTTTTCTTTACTCAGCTATCCATTAGGTACTCCTTTGCAAGTTTAGACTTTCTAGCACCCTCTGTTTTGCTGGATCAGAAAATTCGGGAAAATATGCCTTTTGCAAAATATGTGCCCTGAGCCATTTTAACCGAAAAGTACCTTTTTTTTTTTAACCAAAATCCATTCTCAGAGAACTGCATGCTCACAAAGTTTCAATATTATACGTTTGCCCTTTTCACTGGTAAAAAAACGTGTTTGGAATAGCTGACCCACCCAAAAGCTATGCCCAGAGGGGATGCACCATGAAAGCTGAATACCCCCTCAACTCAATAATATCATGTCACTTATATGTGTGCTAAGTTTCACCTTTCCATTTCTGTCCAATTCGCCAAGACAATTTTTTTTTCTAAACATCACCCCTAGAAAAAATTCCCCTAGGGGATGTATCGAGACTTAACATTTTTATTTAACTCCTTGTCTCAGTAGTCACATTCATTCAAAATTTAAGCTTTCCATGTCTCTCTGTTTTACTCAAGCAAAAATAATGTTATGGAGGGGGAATGAGTAACGGGACATGGAAGGCAAAAGAAGCCAAAAGAAAGGTGATCTTCTAGATGTTAAAAAAACTCACTCTTCAAAGTGTTAAATGAAATTTTGAGCCATGAAATATTAGGTCCATGAATCCCACAAAACTTCTTAACATTAGGGATGCACTGATATATAAAATAGGTGGCACTCAATACAATAACAAAATTATTTCTGTTTTTAAAGCTGTGATGCAATGAATGCCAGCTTGAATCACCCAATGTCATCAGTAAGTTCAGGTCATGTACATTGCATATCATATCAAGAATGGGGAACTGGGAAAAGTGCAATGGACATGGAAAGAAAAACACCTAAGACACCTCTCATGAACATGACAGGTTGCCACCATTTGCATATTGTTGGATTCTGCTGGTGATTTTTATTTTTTGTGACATTTAAAAAGATACATGATCAAACTGTTGCCATATTGGCTATCAGTATTTAGTCCAGCAATTTAAGCCAGCAAGTAAGCCAATCAGTTCAACTGGTGCTTTGGTGAAAACAGCCAATAATCAGTCTTTTTGAAGATGTATCCCTCCCTATTGCAAACAATTGAACAATAGAACCATAGCCAAATTTTCAATTATAACATGCTTTTGAATTATATACTTCCTTCAATTTTACACAAGAATCAATGCCTGAAAAATATTAGCTTACTTCTTAATACTGAAGAAATAAACAATTACTGAAGAAATAAATAAACATGAAAAATAAACTTCTTTTTGCTTACCTCATCCAGGAACTTGGTCACATCATATATGCTGTCATGAATGACAACCCAAGTAGAAGCCTGGGTGTTGTGTTCTGATATTTCCTTGAGAGTATAAACCTTACTCTTCTTGGACTCTGAACTTCCTGACCCAACTTCGCTACTCATAGTCAAGAATGCACAAGAGCCTTTTTCTTATAAACTGGTTTGAAGATTGACTTCTCTGGCTTTCTCAGGTCTTGTCACTGAATGGCAAATCCCTTGGAAAGAAAACTGCAATACTTGGTTCAGGTATACTGCCTACTATTTAGATCCAAAGAATCTCTGATTCAATTAAAGACAAACTGGCAATTCTTATGGGTTGTGCAAAACCTAAAGAATCTGCTAAAACGTTTTTCAAGAAAGTATTGATGACTTCAGCAAGGGATGGTTGTTCTTGAAGAGTACGCACAATGGTAATTGGTCAAATCTGGTACATCTCTGTGTATAACTATGATAGTAATTATAATTATAATAGTAGGCAAGAGTAGGAGGAGCCACACATCATCAGACAGAGAAGGATGGATTCAATCTCAAAATCTCCCTTCTAAGAGATGACAATGACAAGATCTTGAAGAAACAAATATAAGGATGGCAATCATGGAGATAAGTGGGGATAACAATGGTCAACTGTCACTCTCCATGTGGACCTCCATATATTTTTTACTTTTCCTCTCTAAATGATATTCCAAGTAGTGATGAGATCAGTGCTTGGAGATATGCTCAAAAACAACACTTTCAAGTTTGTATGACCACAAGTGGATTTTACCAGTTTCCATCAACCTATCAGCTAGCCTTTGATTGAATCAGAGACTGTGCATTTAAGTCAAAGACATAAGGTTGTGCTTCCACTATAAGATTGCAATACATATAAGTATGAACCAGTAGTATATGCATTTATCAGGGTTCACATTAACTTGTTACAGTGAGTCCCTGACTCATATTTGCAAAACATCTAAGTCTATGGGACTCATTGACAACCACCTGAACATGTTCCCACTTTGCTGAAGCTTGGCTCCAGGACTCAAGATTTAAGAAAGCTAGTGCGAACCCTGATTTATTCTGGAAAAAACATACAAGCATTTATGCACTTCAAAATAAATAACATGTATTCATGATTGCCAGATTGGCATGAAAGAAAACTTCCATAAGTAATAGGGGCTACCTAATTTCAGGTGGAAGAAAGAATTATTTCCAAATATGCACCATGGTTCAAATATGAATCCTAAGCCATGTCACTTAACACATTGACCACCAAGGGGTAAAGCGCTGATATTCCAAGTGGTACCATGTGACATGGTGACATGCTGGCATGTCACATGGGGGTTAACAAGTTAAAGCATTGTGCCATTACTGTGTGGCAATTGAAAGGTCATTTTCTGGACAAACATGCTAGCAAGTGGGGTATTTTATGTAAAACATAACTGAAAAATCCAGGGGTATGAGCAATTTTAGCTCCCCCCCCCAAAAAAAAAATAGAAATATGACAGAATATCAATATATGCATTCTCCTGCAATATGGTGCAATTAAATGCATAAATTAAATGCACTTCTAAATTTTTTAATGCAATCTGGCTCTTGGCATATTATGTAGATCTCTTGTAACTATCTCCAAGCAAGCAAAGCATATACTGGCATACTCCTCTGGGCCCTAACAAACTATGATTCATTGTCAGCAACAAATGACAGTGCTTCAATACAGCATTCACAGTCTAGTCATGCATGTTCAAAGGGTGTATTCTGTCAGAAAATAGAGCAATTGAAAATAACCAGTATTTCTTTCAAAATTGGCCTGTGATTCATTTCTCCATCTTGGCAGAGCCAATATGCTGGTGTGGTCAATTTTTGTCCTAATGTTATGTGTAAAGCCCTATACTACCTTGAACAAAAAGGGAAAGAAAATGAAAAGAAAAGAGATATACATCTGAAAACCTTGCATCAATTACCCCAACTGTTACAGCGAACCATCTCATCCATAAATTTTGGTCAGCTCCAAGAGAAGCTAATGGTAAAAGTCCAAGAACTTTCAATTACCACTCATGTAAAATTTCCTACCTTATGAAAGCACTCATTGTGCATCAGTCTTGAGCATGAGTGGAAAATTCTAAAATGCTAAATGTCAGCCATTCATCTTAGGTCAATATACAAAAGTTATGATTGTTTTATCACCACCTAATTCTTGGGACTCAGTTCACTACTAATGAATGTTTGAAAGAAGTTCACTTACATTTTTAAGGCACTTAGTTTCTGTAATTTGAGTTCTGTTCCTGTCTAGATGGCCTCAGAAAGGTAAGGCCAATTTTGAGAGTGGAAGGCATTGGCATCTCCTGATGCCCTGGAGATGCCAATGCCTCCTCCAATCATGCCTCCAATAGGTTGGAGATTAAAATTTCTATCTGCCAGTGCAAGGATCTTTTGCAATCCATGTTATTTGTAACACTATAGGGATTGTTGGACCATGTCTGACAGTGGACCTCAAAGGGTAAAATTCTTCTAGGGTGAGGCTTCCTTTTGTGATCACATCTTCATGATGTGGACAAGCATAGGAAGAGTAAGTAAATCTCAAGACAATGGCAATCTGATGATGCCCAGAGGAGTATAACACTCTAGCCAACTGCAAAACTTACCTGGCTGCCTATCTTTTCCCTACAATGGTTTTTGGATGAATTTGTACTACTTTTAACATGGTGAAATGTTATTTCTAAAAACATTCAAGAGGCAGGTATATATCGATTACCACAGAAATGAAATTAGGTTCATGGTACCAATAATAACCTTTACAAGCCGAATGTTTCTGTTTTCAAACAGAACAAGTGGAAAATTCAATTTTGTCATATTTATTTTATCTTTTACATGCTCTCTTCAAATATGGAAACATTCGGCGTGTATTGGTTAAAGAAAGTACTACTTCAGTTGCAATTCACTGCGGAGCCATGTGGGTTTAAAACTGCAAGCCGGCATTCTAAGGGCCTAGGCTTGAAAAGTGCGGAAAAAAATTCCGTATCTTCATCGAATTCGCGGCCTAACATTGGGTAAACCAATGGTAGATCAAGGCCCATTCAACCAACCAGTTTGTCAAAGGTTTGCTTCATTGAGTGACTGATCTAGACATGAACATGGGGGTGCAACTAAAACGTACGAAAGGCAATCACTACATTACGTTTCCCGAACACACTCCAAGCCCTGAAGTACTTTAGGGCTTGCAGTGTGTTCGGTTAGCTTAAGGTAATTGTCCCACCATGAGAGCACAGCACGAGACTAACGAATGGGGACCGCCATGACTCCCGTCACGTAGGGTCCACTCGAGGCAGCAGAATACGTGGTACGTGACATGCAGTTCGGTTTGTCATCCTCAGTCCAAGCCCCGCTTTTTAGTTCCATGAATCATCATTATCCTCTTTCCTCATCTGGTCGTGGGTTTCAATATTAAGAAAATGCGTTGTCAGGGGAGGCAGGCTCAATTGGTCCCCTGACTCAGGGAAAAAAAAACCTTTACAATACCCCTTTCTAGGAAGCGTTTTAATTTCAGCAATGAGCATTGGGTGAATTCAAAATCGGTTTTGGTGTTCCGTGTAACTCGAACTCCACCCCATAGCACCAAATTTGAACTCGCCCTGTGGTGTTGGTGTAACATACTGTATTCCGGTGTTTCGCGCCCGTGTAGCACCAGGTTAACCCTTTCACCAGCGTCGGCGTGATATTACGTCGACATTCTCGAAACGTTCGGATATCCATGTCAGGGAAAGGGGTTAACACGAAATACCATTTCAATCAAGTTCGGTGTTGATGTGAAGGGGATTCCATATTCTTCATTATGGGGTGTTAATCTTGTTAACTAATCCCTGGGGTTAACATTAGGGCGAGTTCAAATGCAATGTTAATAATGTAACTGACTGGTAAAAGGTAGGGGCAAGAATTGTGTGAACATTTTTAAGAGACAAAAGGAGAGAGGGTCGCGATATTGCGAACATGCACACGTTATATAAGGTGGTTTAAAAAAAAAACGCTCTACCGTTTTGTATGGGAGAAACAGTTTCATAAATGCAGCAAAAAAAATTACATCGGATACTCGATCGATATTTGACAGTTACAAGGTGTTGAAATGCTTGCCAGTTTTTTTTCAGCACCCCTGCCTAAGTCGTACAGCGTTCATTTAGAGGTGAATTAAAGGTGCTTAAAGGTCAGTGGCGTAGCTACCGAATGTGCAGGCGGTGCGACTGCATCGGGGCCCAGACGCCGAGCTTCGAAGAGGGGAGAAGGCAGGGGGGGAGCACCGACTCCCCCTCCTCTGGCCAAGTTCGCAGTCTATTTTTTTAATTTAGAAAGCACATAAATTAATGTTAGCTCCTGTGAAATGTATATTCAGGGTTTTTACCCTAGATGGAAAATGAATAAGGCGATAGGACGGAGGGTGGTGGTAGATGACGGGGGGGGGGGGGGGGGGGGGGGGGGGGAANGGGGGGGGGGGGGGGGGGGGGGGGGGGGGGGGGGGGGGGGGGGGGGGGGGGCGGGAACTAGGAAACAGGCTCCTCCTCCTATGAAACATTTCTGTATCCACCACTGCCTTCCACATTGACTTCAACTACCGACGACGATTTATATGCTGCCGGAGAAAACTAGCCAAAAATTTAACTCCCTCATAATTCAATAATAAGAAATTGGACGAGCCCCATTTCATTCCTTGCACCAGGGCCCCATACCAACCACGCTAAGCCACTGTAAGAGGTGGATCATTCCTCCTCACGTGAGGTGATTGCCTGTGCTCGACCGTCGCAGAATTCAATGAATTTTTCAACACTTTTCAAGGGACAGTTGGATCCAGCTGATACTTGACGGAGAGGTTCATGAGTCTAAGAGGTTTTTTCACTTCCGCAAAATGGCACTGTATCCCTATAGAGGGCGCTGCTGTTGACCGGGTGGTCAAAGATGTCATCAGTGGTGCCAAACTCGATAAGGCTGGGGGCCAGATGGAAGCCTACAGGGGTGATTAGGGGCCACAATAAAAGCCTAATATCTAATCTTTTATGCAGACAGGCTGAAATTTGCAGTACTTTTCCGTAACTGACTGTTGAAGAGGACTTCGAGGGCCAGACAAAATAGACTGGCTGGCCGGATCCGGCCCGCGGGCCGCGAGTTTGACACCCCTGATCTACATTATAATACGCAGTTCACCAAATCACCTATGAAAGAGAGGTCATATGAAGGTGAGAGTGGTTTCATATTAACTGTC